TTTTCTGTTGAGTGACATATTTTTACTTTTTAGTCAATAATCAATCATCATGTTTTCTGCAAACTTCTATTATATGATTTTGTTAAATTATTATGTTTTCCCTGGTCACATTGTAACGCTTGTCTAAATTTAAAAATGGATTTAATGCAATATTGTAAAACATAATACAAAAATGATAATAACTAATTACAGTTCTATTTTAATTTTATTCAATGTTGGGGGGAATTTGAAAAGGGATTAAAGGAACATTAGAAAAGTTAACTAACCACAGATATATTCTATCGTATAATTGGAATAAATAGAATCTCAAAAACTTTGATAGAATCTCAAAAACTTTGATAGAATCTAATAAAACTTTGATAACATTTAATGAAACTTTGATAGAATCAAATAAAACTTGATAACATTTAATGAAACTTTGATGGAATTTAATAAAACGTTTAAATCAAGAACATAATGATATAACAAAAAAGAGGTCACAACCAACTTTCTTGTAAATTTGTTGATTTGAGAATTTTTTGCAAAGAGAACAAAATTTTAATTTTATTTGAACTTCAAACAGTCTCAATTTTCTCGATATAATTGTTGTTGAGATCTCTGCTTTGCTTCACGTTTAATTAATGAAAACAATTATGTAGATTTTAAAACTGTCCAATAATGTATAAAAATTAAACATTGCAAGAGCCACATTTTAGTATCTAAAACAGTGTTTAAACCCTATTCCAGCTGGGGGGGGAGGTCCCTGGGAATACCCCCCCTTAAACGTTTTTTGGACATAACTCTAAAAGTATTTGTCTGACGTTGTTCAAATTTTTTACTTTTATAACTAACACTTTAGGGTTAAAGCGGAGTTTTTATACCTACTGCCTGAATGCCTTTACCAGACTAAATCTATATTTAGACTTACATATCTTTAACGCAAAATAGTCTATTTCCTTATTATGTTTCAAATCTAAAACATTTTAACCATTTTTGGAAAGCCTTTAGACTCTGCTTTAATAAATATTTGCAAATTTGCAAAATTTCAAATATTTTTTTGCAAAATTTAGTTATTTAGCAAACAATGTGCAAAAACAAAAAGTGCGTGAACTGTTAAAAATTATATACTTTTGAAAAGCCCTTGATCCCATGAATTCGAATATGCAAAATTATTTTCAACATTTTAAAAAACTTAATGTGTTTTCAAGGAAAACTGAAAATGTGCAACCGTCCTGTAAAAGCGTCTGTGCCAAAAATCTAAGCAAAATTTCTTCACAAAAATTGTGCAATTCACCAACTTTTGTTGAAGGCTTGGCAGGCATCACCGTTCATCATACTTAATCAAAAATCACTTACAAAGACAATATCAAAATTGTCACTGAATTCCCATGTTTACTGGATCGATCTACAAAGACAAAGTCTGAAGATATTATAAATCCTATAAGCCCTGTTCCAGATATAGGATCTAACCCCCATAGTTTCCTATCCTGCTGTTTAACCTAGCTCAGGGTTAGTTTATAAGCTCTAGAGAAGTTATTAATCTCCAGAACCAAGAGTTCAATTTCGGGTTTCCAGGTTTACCAAATATCTTTTGACGTCATAGCTTTTCATACAGTTATAGAATCCAAATATTTCAGGGGTAAATACTGGATACAGGGTTGGGGGGTCAAAATTTCCAGGGGGTAGAATGTTAAATACTGGATACAGGTTTGGAGGGGGGGTCAAAAATTAAATTACGACAGAAGGGTAAATACTGGATACAGGGGGGGATATCATAATATCCAGGGGGGTAGGAGGGTAAATACTGGATACAGGGGGGGGATATCATAATATCCAGGGGGGTAGGAGGGTAAATACTGGATACAGGGGGGGGATATCATAATATCCAGGGGGGTAGGAGGGTAAATACTGAATACAGGGGGGGATATCATAATATCCAGGGGGGCAGTATTGGGAAAAGTACGTTGAGGTGGAACCAACTTGTTTGATGTACACTAATTACTGGTTTATTTACAGAAAACATTCCTAAATATTTTAAACATTACCTACAATTACCGAGACTTTAGCTAATGCATTACATTTGTTGTTGTTTTTATATTATCTGTTGTTTGTTTACAATAAAACAGAGCTGACTCAATACGTCACGGTAAGATGAAATGTAAACAGTTTCTAGCAACCTCTCTCCTTGGTTCTTTTCCTCTATAGCAGTGAACTATGAAAGCAATTGAGGCTTTGCCACAAACTCTGTTTTTCTCATTATCTTTGCAGCACAATATCGTAGACCTTAGATATTTAGAACTACGAATTCTGTTGGATCAAATAATCAAAGTTTATAATATAGGGATTATAAAATTTGAGTTTGTGACAAAGACTCAATTCCTTTAGAAATCAGAATGAGCAAAACCTTTTACATAAAGCCTTATCCTTTACAGGCATATTAAAGTATTTAAAAACTTTTAATATGTTCGATCCTTTTCTCCTTAAGGTTAATTGTTTAATCTATTCTATTTTCTGAAAAATAAAGGAATTGAGTCTTTGCCACAAACTCTGACATTCTAATTCCTATATCTTTGAACTCCAATACCGTAGACCTTAGATATTTCAAGATATGAATTCATGTTAGGTCAAATAATCTAAGTTTAAAATATCAAAGGTTTACACCATTAGGTTGCTGTTGCTGAGGGGATTACAAAATTTGAGTTTGTGCCAAAGACTCAATTCTAGTCCTGCCCCAAACTTTGACTCCGAAATAATTTGAAAACTTTTAATATGTTCGATCAGTTTCTCCCTAAGGTTAATTGTTTAATCTCATCTCAGTTTTGGAATAAAACAACAAAATAAACTTCTAAACAAAAGAAACTGTGGACAATTTAACAAATAATTTCACAAATATAAAACTTCTTCTATAAACCCACCTGTGACCGATGTCCATGGTGTTCACTGTTTAATCATAGAATTAATTTATAATTCAAAATCAAAATAAACCAACTAAAACATTGATGATACTTGTATGTAATATAAGTCCACATAATTCATCATTCATGCAAAATTCGAGCAGTATTTTGCCAATAATTTCCCCTTTTAAACTTAAACTATAGAGCGTGCGCAATTAGGAAAATGTATATGTCTAGGGCTATTAGTAAACCAAAGCCCGAGGCGTTCAGATCTAAGCTGTATAATAATTTGATTAATAACATTCAAAGTTGTCCAGATATCAGTAAAGTGTTGTCAAAATCTGTACGTTAATTTAAATGTTTCAAATGCAGTTGTTCGCCCCTTTCTAAGTTCTTACTAACACTCAAAATCCTTATATCTTTGATATTTCAAATTATAAAATTTGCAAGATCAATTAGTCAAAGTTTGAAAGATCATAATTTGCAAAGACATCATATATTAGAGTTTGAGGTTAGTACTCATGGTTTCTATCTAAATATATTCTTAGTTTGAATAGATATAGCCCTGCAAACTAGACTCAAGGAGTGTAAGTAAAATGTATGCGATAATACTTGGACCCCTTTTCTACCTCGTAATTACTCTAATTTTGATTTTACTCTCAAATATGAGGAACGCAAATTTATCAGATATTCAGTGACGAATTGGATATCGTCTTTGTTATGAATTAGCATTGTAATACCTGATTTAACAAGCCATAGTATTATTATGTCTGCTAGAGTTTATTTCAGGGATTGGGTAAAAGACTGTAAAGATGTGTTTATAATGTCTTCGCAAGATGAACAGTGTAGACGGACAAGTTTATTCTGTTTGTAAACTGCAATTTTCTTGTTTTACTAAGTTCAACCGTATACAGTTAAAACATAAACAAACAAAATGTGAACATAGCAAACGAAACTCTTACAGATTACAGCTTTCTCAGTATAGGTATCACTATACTAAATCATGAATAATTATTATAAAAAGACGATATCTGAATTCCCATGTTTATTGGGACACCCTGTACCAGAAATATCTTTATATATCGATCCTGTAAATAAGTACGATTAACGATGATTATTATGAGAAATTGAATATTTAATGTTTACGATAATTATTTGTATTATGAAATGTTCTTACTAGTAAAGGGTTAAAAGGGGATATGCCGGCTATTAAACAGTGCTAAAACAACGTTTTTTAACTTCTGAAATAAAATGACGGTTTGGTTACAATTAGATTCACAAAGATTTATTGTTCACTGAAAATCACGAAATTTTTAAGTTTTTACTATAATTGAAACGTGATCACCACACGAGAAGGATGTTAACAAATTTGCCTGAGCTAGGAAATGTTGGGTTTCACCGCCGGAGAAAATCTTGGTCAAAAACGACCTTACAGCGAGTAAGATTAATTGTTTTGGTTTACAATTTTTCAATTTAAAACCTGTTTGTTCTTCCCTTGATAGCGCCTCACGAAGCTATGGTCAAAATATTTGAGATTTCAATCTAACGTGCAATTTACTTTAGTTAAATATTAAATGTCACAAATTAATTGAAAAATAACAAATTCATTCAAATCTTTATTCTTAAAATCAAAACAAAGCGAAAAGAAGTAAAAACTGAGTTCTTTTTTCTACAGAGTTACCCACAAAGGATGAGACTGTTGTCTGTAAAGACGACCTGAAAATCTTTAAATCCGACAATTCCAAGGTTAAATTAAGCCTTCTTCCTTGAATATAATCTTGTTTTGGCTTATTTAATGATGAAGCAAAGAGAAAAACAAGTTTACAATTGCTGGAAATTACAAATAAAAGGAAACTAGGCTATTTATTTCAATTGTGAACATTTTCTCTTTGTATATACATTGTAAAACAAAATCAAAAATAATTCGCGGATCTTAAAGAAAATTTCTGGGATTTTAAAAATTTAAAGAAAATCGAATCTTGTTGGAGGCCAAATTTTGAAATGGTGACATGTGAGGTAACACGCAATTTGGGCCCGATCAGTTCAACCGTTTTGCCGTTTATTGGATACATGATTATATATTTCTTAAACTGATGTCAGATAGATAGATAGACAGTATGGATTCTGCACAGTCGTCATGAAGTTTCATGCTTTGTTGGTAACCCTGTAGTTCCTTTAAATGCCGTGAAGAGTTATCTATATAAAAAATAAGACATTCGTATTTATATTCCCTATAGCCAGCCACACGGCTGCAGACTCATAGATAGCGATGAAACATGACTGTTGAGAGACGACTTGAATATCGTCTTTGATCTTTGAAATGGTTAGTAGCATTCAATTCTCAACCAATAAATTTCAGATGCAAAATTCATGTGTTAACTTTTACACAAAATGCCCAAAATAACATAGCAATTCCAAAATGTCGTCTGTCTTTTTTTTGCTGTCAGAGTCACTGAAGATATTAAGGATTTTGTCCAAATTTAGAAAATTGTTTCAAATATCAAAGACGATCTTCAAGTCGCCTCTCATCTTGCATATTTCATGGGACAATCTTAACACATTTGTAGATAAAAATCTTAGATAAAAATGCAAAAAGAAAAAAGTTTTGTTATGTCCTTTGAAGCACAATTCACCGGTATAGTTTATCAATAGTTTATCAGGATATGGAGGCTCAAAAATATTTTTCTTAAATGACATGTTGACAAATTTTGAAATGGGATATTGAACGATCACCGCAATAATATTTTGAGTTGACTCTACCAAAGAATTTAAATCAAAAACGTTCAATGCCCAAGTCTTTTTTTAGGGTAAAAAAAGGGTGCTGGGGGGGTAGATTACAACTATTGACAGAAGAATACAGATACTGATGATAGATAACAGATACTACGAGTAGATTACAGATAATGGGAGTAGATTACGGATACTGGGAGTAAATTACAGCTACTGGGAGTAGATTACATATAATGGGAGTAAATTATAGATACTGGAAGTAGACTACAGATACTGGGCGTAGATTACAGCTACTGGGAGTAGATTTCAGCTACTGAGAGCAGATTACAGCTATTGGGAGTAAATTACAGATACTAGGAGCAGATTTCATCTACTAGGAGTAGATTACAGATACTTGGAGCAGCTTACAACTACTGGGAGTAGATTACATCTACTTGAAGTAGATTACAGATACTGGGAGTAGATTACATCTACTTGAAGTAGATTACAGATACTGGGCGTAGATTGCAGTTACTGGGAGCAGATTACATCTACTGGGAGTAGATTACAGATACTGGGAGCAGATTACATCTACTGGGAGTAGATTACAGATACTGGGAGCAGATTACTGATACTGGGAGTAGATTACAGATACTGGGAGTAGATTACAGATACTGGGAGCAGATTACATCTACTGGGAGGAGATTACATCTAGTTTATGCAGGATGTCCCAGCGCTGAGCGTAATATTCCCCCAAGCTGGGAACTGCTCCAGGTTGAAGAGAAGAGTACCATGAGTGTGGAGAGAGAGCAAGGTTACCACCAGGGAGGAGAGGTTTAACATGATACCAACACAGATCATATCCAGGATCCTACACAACAGGTTCATAAGTTAAGAGAGTGTTTATGAAATATTAAAATAAGATAAGGTTGATATTAATTTATCATTCTTTTTAAATCGAAAGGAAATAAAAGTATTTTAACAGATAAATTCATTAACTGATGCTGAATCATCATGTACTCCTTTTGTTTGCACTAGGACTCACAAGATAAAATAATTCTTCAAGTCAGAACTTGTGTTATGGTAATCCCTTTAATGTGGAAAGTCAACAGAATAAAAATGTCATACAGTTAAACTAAGAGCTTCGGAGACATCGAAAGAGTATGTAAGATGTCGTCTTCACAATATTTCAATTGGTTCATTCTATTATACCTAAATCTCATTTATAAGTTGTAAAAATAGATAAATAGCCATGAATATGCGGGGACAGTTTTAAAGAGCTTCATACAATTGTTCAGTTAAAAATCTAAATATCTGCAGCATTCCATTATCAGTAGGTTAAGAAACCGACATTTTAAAAATTCTTTCAGTTACTCTCCAAGATCTGGATTTTAAGGTGTTCTTCAATACATCTTGATGTTTTACCTGATCCCACCCGAAGAGAAAACAATGGCATTTGGTGGGGTGGAGACAGGTAGCATAAATGCATTGCTTGCAGTCAGTGTTACACCTAGAGCCAGGTAGAGCGGGTTCACCTTAACAATAATTAGACGTTTATTCTATGCAATAGGGAGGGGGTGCAGCCGCAGGGCCAGCATGACCCCGGCGAAATAACCTTCGAAGTCTCCTTTTTCGAATGATTTTATTACCTAAATTTTTATTTTTTTGATGGATGACATAGTTATACCTGTAATACAGTTGCCATGTTTAAAACAACTGGAAGAACCATGCTGGTTGTTGCAGAGTTAGAAGCTATCTGCGACACAGCTGATGTGATCAGGCAGAGTGCCATGAGGACCAGAGGCGCTGGGAGAACAGAGAGGGGTCTCAGCTGACTTCCAACTAGCTCAGTCAGACACGATGCTTTAGATCCTTCTGCCAGTGCAAAACCTGGAACAAATTCTTAATTTAAGGTTTTCATTTGCTTTTATGGAAAACTTTTTTGGATTATTGTAGAACATGCGGAAGACTATGATTCTTTTGTTATTTTTAGCCTTATAAAAGAAAACATTGCTGAGTTCAATTGCTAGTGCTGTGCAAATTGTTGTTAACAAATAGATTGAAAAATGAATTTGCCAGTCTATATCCTAGTTCGAGAAAATAGTGTATTCGAGCTTTTTCAAGTCGAGGTACAGGTAGGGCTGGGCGCATTCCTGATGGAACGATCGTTCTTTCCCAAGAACGAACGGAACGATCAAGAACGATCCCATCGTTCCGAAAAAAATGAACGCTTAGAACGCGTTCTTAAAAATATTGGAACGATTAGTAAAAGAATGGAACGGAACAGGAATTTCTTGAAAAGAACGGTTAAAATCGTTAACGCGTTCTTATAATCAAGAACTCATTCTAAGTTGGGAACGCATTTTAAATCAGGAATGTTCTTCAGTTTATAATTTCTGTATATCGTACATATAAGGCCGATCCCGCCCCTCTCCCCGCTCTCACAAAATTATACATTGCTCAGCCCAGAAATTATCTAAGCTTATTCTTTTAACCCTAAATTAAAAATATATAATTTAAAGTATTATTCACGGCCGTGAGGAACTTAAAAAAAAAAATTGCAATTTTTTACTTTTTAACCAACTCTTTTCTATAAAACTTTTGTCTTGAATGGAATTGTTCGTTACTAAGAACGAACGGGGGATGGAAACGTTCTTGATTAAGAACAGAACAAGAGGGATGCAACCGTTCTTCAACTAAGAACGCCAAAAACGGAACGGAACAGGAAGACCGTTCTTCTACTCAGAACGGAACGGAACGGAACGAGAACGGAACGATAAAAAAGAGGAACGAGAACGGAACGATTTAGCTGAAGGCCCTCGTTCTAGAACGGAACGGAACGATTTTAAAAAGGTCGGAACGTGCCCAGCCCTAGGTATAGGGTGTCCCAATAAACATGGAAATTTACTGACGAATTCGATTCGTCTTAGTTATGAATTAGCATTGTAATACCTGATTTCAAAAGACATAATATTATTATGTCTGCTAGAGTTTATTTTATGAAAACGATGAAAGATGAAAGATGTGTCTATAATGTCTTTGCAAGATGAACAGTGAAGACGGAAAAGTTTACTCTGTTTATATCCTAGATATATATCTATATCTATATCTATGGTTTATATACTGTAATTTTCTTTTTTTACTTAGAACAACCGTGTGCAGTCAAAACATAAACAAACAAATTTTAAACATAGCAGACGAAATTTTTTCTGATTACAGCTTTCTCAGTAGGTATAACTGTACAAAATCAAAGAATTATTTGAAAAGACGATATCGAATTTGTCACTGAATCACCATGTTTATTGGGACATCCTGTAGTATAAGTGTTCCATTTTTGCAGCATTAATAAAATGAAAGTTGAAAAGTACTGTAGTTGAATTGTTGCAGTAGAATCATTTTAATCATTTTATTCACTTCATCAAGTGCCATCTTTTTTTTTTGGGGGGGGGGGGAATCGAAAATACTTTAGAACGGGAAACATTTTACTAAATTAAAAGCATGATTATTGTTTCTTGGTTTTACTAATGACAACTTTAATACTTGTTTCTTGACTCCAGTTCCTCCAGTCCTAACTTTTTTATTGCTAACATTGCAAAGCTGAATATTTGTATATATACTTCCGGTCCAGGTAATGGAGATTATTGAATTGAACAAGTTTATAGATGCAATTGGGCTGATATTCTTTATTAGTCTATATAGGGAGCATGAAAAATTTAAATCTATTTGTAAAAACAGTAAAAGGATATAATTTAACTATTTTTAAATTTTAGATGCAGCTTTAATAATTTTTAAAAATTTATATCTTTAATATTTTCCTACCTCCCCCCATGAGAAGTATAATCCCCCAAGGGAACCTGGTTCGAACCTGAATAGTTCAATAAAATATTATATTACAGTTGATGGTATAGAATGCTAAGTGTAATGGGGGATCTTTATTTCAGTTTATGAGTCTAGTCAGCCTGCAGTAGACAGTTTTATCCTTATACTGATAGTTTACTGTCAAAGAGATTAGATAACTATAGAGTGGAATTACGTGGAAAAAAAGTGTAAAACCGCCATTTGGTTGTACTGTTTCCTTACTGTCGGTTTACTTCACAAATTTGTGCTATATAACTTTTTGGGCCCTGCATCATCTTTTTATAAAAAAAAATTCTTGAAAAAATTATTTAATTTTCTCTTTATCAATACTCTGAAAACCGCGGGCATGCATTCCAGAGTTTATTTCAGCATAGGCTTTACTTTTCATTCCCAAGTTAATTACAGCATAAACTTCATAAAAATTGTAAAAAAGAAATTGTATGTCCAGGAATCATACTGTATTACTGTGATGTACTGCATATAATTGTACACTTTGAACTCCTTTTCAGGCTGAAAGGGATTGAACAAATTCATACCGAGGGACAGTCTTATTTCCCTTCTATTCTAATATCTGTTCTGTTTTTACTGTCCTTTATCCTCTACTATAGAAAACAGTTAATGTCTCACTTTCCTTAAAGAGACTGTAAATGTAATTTCTAGTGACACTCCATGCAAAGATGGCAATACCCGATTCACACCGGTACCCTTAAAACCCTGATTAATGATGTGGAATATATTATAATTTTTTCTGGTTTAAAACTATGTTAGCTAGTAGATGTGTGTCTTTCTATGAAACTATTGAAGCAAGTTCTAAGCTTTGCATTAGATTTCTTTCTAATTTTTGCAAAAATGACCTTAACACATCAGTTCTTGGCAGAAATTTATTTTCCATTGCAAATGATTGTTCTGTAAATCTTTCTGATCTATAGTAAAATGATAGTTAAGAAACTAATGAAATATTTTGATGTCCCATTGGACCATGCATGGAAAGTTTCGGTTTTACAAGAACTTTTAAATAAAAGAACGAATAATTTATATGTAGAAGGATTCGATGATTACGTAATAACTGAAATGATAAATAAGTTATGTAATAAGTAAAGATCAATGTCGTCTATTTGTGCATAATTTTGCATATTTTTCTTTTTTCTTTTGTAAAGCTATATATTCAAAACTTTATTTAAACAAATTTAAACCACACCATTTATATATGTATTTATATCTTTGTGTGTGAATAAATCTTTATAATATAATAGTATAAAAGTGGCTAACTCTGATTATTTCCGTAGGTTTCCCTGCAGTAGAAATGTGCAAGCCACTTTTGTAGAGAAACCACAGTTAAAAATTATAAACATGCTTTTGAGGGTACCGTTGTGAATCGGGATTTACCATCTTTACTTGGGGGGTAACTTAAAATTCAGGTTCACTGCTATTGTAAACTTGTTTATATCTTTACTAACGTATTTAACATACCAAAAAAGGCTATATTTAGAATAGAAACCTAAATTTAATTCAAGTTTTAGGTCTTCCCTTAAAGTCTCATCCTGTGTGAATAACCTTGTACTATAATATTTATTTATTTATACAAAATATTGTTTATTTCTCTTAAATTCTCTTTAATTAATACATTCATTCGTAGATTTTCTTTTGTCTAACTATTCTTGATCTTTAGCTTTTCAATAATGAATCGAATATCAATATTGTTCAGAATAATTCCCAGGCTTTTCATTATTTTCTGGTGTATCTACTGCATAATATACTTTTCATTACTTTCCTGGTGTACTGCACAATATACTTTTCATTACTTTCCTAGTGTACTGCATTGTTTACTTTAAATTACTTTCCTGGTGTATCTACTGCATAACATACTTTTCATTACTTTCCTGGTGTACTGCATTATTTACTTTTCATTACTTTCCTGGTGTATCTACTGTATAATATACTTTTCATTACTTTCTGGTGTATCTACTGCATAATATACTTGTCATTACTTTCCTGCTGTACTGCATTATTTACTTTTCATTACTTTCCTGGTGTACTGCATAATTTACTTTTCATTTCTTTCCTGGTGTATCTACTGCATTATTGCATTATTTACTTTTCATTACTTTCCTGATGTACTGCATAATTTACTTTTCATTTCTTTCCTGGTCTACTGCATTATTTTCTTTTCATTACTTTCCTGGTGCACAGCATTATTTACTTTTCATTACTTTCCGGATGTACAGCATTATTTACTTATTCACGCACATTCAATGTTTGAATCCTTTCAAATTTTGGGAGTGGGCGGGGGGCTTTCTTTTTACATAACGCTATAAATATATATATATAATCATTGAAATGCAACGAACGTCAAATTTTAAAATAACCTTAAATACAAGGGATGCAACTTCAATTCAAAGACGACTGTACGGATTTTATACTGTCTTCTTAGATTCATGATTCCCAGCAACTGTAAGCTTCTTTCTTTCTTTGCCAAACCATTAAATAAGCCATTTAAATACCACATTCAACTTTCAAGGTCAAAAGACTTGATTGACCTGAAGTCTTAATATCTAAAGAGTTTAAGTTGTCTTTACAGTCCCATCCTGTATGGGTAGCCCTGCTTATCACAAACCGTCTTGTATTTCAGTTTATTCTGATCTTAAAACAGCATTATACTCATACAATCTCAACATTTTTTCAAGGGGTTTTCTTTCCAATAAAATATAAGGGGACTGCACTGTAAACGTAGTTGTTCAAAGTGAGTCTCCATGCAAAAATGGCAATGGAAGATTCACAACGGTACCCTTCAAAGCTATAGTCTTATCAAAAATGAATTGGATATCAATGTTTAAAACTAATTATTTTCAATTGTGGTTTCTCTACTGCAGTTTTGGAATGATCGAACTTTGACCAGAGAAAGGTTTCAAGGGTATCGTTGTCAATCGTACATTGCCATCTTTGCACATGGAAGGTCAATGGAAATTACATTTAAAGTTCCTTGAGAACATAAATCGACAAAATTCCTATAAAAAAAAATAGAACCTGTTCCCAAGTGAGGAGTGTTCCAGCATCTGGATTTTCTTTCGGGTTCCTATAGTTCCAAACATCTTTACTTCAAAATGTATCTTACATTAAATTTAAATATAACTTCATACAACTTCATACAAGATGAATAAAGCGGGGCATTAAAAATTTATTTTGCGCAATCTAGAAAAAAAAACGCTATACACATTTCGTTTCGGCTTTGTATTTTCTTATTGAATCGGGAAAGCCGAAACTAAATTATCAGGCTGCAAAGATTAAGGGATGAATAATTTTGCCTGCATGTCAAATCCAACCATTTTCCCCAATAATAAATAATATATAATAACGAGTAGTTTATTGTAAACTTTAATCAAGTTATATTCTTTGCATGTAAATTTTGCTTATAGTTTTGACTTAAATATTTAAATAATATAATACATGCATATTAAACTTATTTTTAAGTAAACAATTTATAATAAACAAATGTACTCTCCTAGACTGTACAAATACAAAGATTCTTATGTACTGTATATACCTATAACTGTACACGCCTTCGGTTCGGTATTACTTACACACACTCTTTTATATAGTACTGACACACATACATGACGTTTCCGCCCCCTGGGTCAGACATGGAACTTTCGAACCTTTTTTTTGTTACTCTCTGTCAAAGTTGTGAGCAAAATTATATAATTTAGTTTAAAAATATATTCTTTGTTTTACATGTTGCATGCTTAAATTGAAAATACTTTTTATTTTTGTTTTCATTCAACAGTTTATTGAATAAATCTAACCCAGGAGGGAAAAAGCTGGAATTGAAACTCTTGGCTGACATGCAAAACTGGAACTGTTTTTTTCTCTAGTTTTTTTTCTGTTTAAAGAAAGAAAAAAGCATTTTCAATAATGCTATAACCATAAACATTTTTTGTCAACTTTGTAACGCTGAACCAACCACCGCTGGTTCAAATCTTGAATCCACGATTCAAATATACAAATTCATAAAGATTTGATTCGGTGATTCAGGATTTGAACTGTTGGTAAAAAGTTCAGCGACCTCTCCAACTCCTAAAATTTAATTCCAGACTGAAAATTTCACCATATCTTAAAGTTTTGAGTTTTATAATTCAATTATTATATTTTTTTATATAGAATAAGTAATTACATCAAAAAAAACCTTGAATGTTTAAAATTTAATTATAAATTAGAATTCATGAAATTATGATAAAATTTGTTAACCCTAATCAAATGGGCACATAATGGTTTAAACAGAAGAATTTTAGAGAAATATTTGTAATGTAAAGTAAGTGAACAATCCATTTACCTGGTATAGAGAGGTAAAAAATATACACCTCTGCCGCAAATCCCAATTCCCAATCTCAAAATGTTCAGAATGGAATTGTTTACTTCTGAAAAAATTATCCCCAATTCTCAAAAATGTTCCCAATGGAATTGTTTACTTTTGAGCAAATTATCAATGGTAAAGAGGTAAGGATGGTTCCTGGGTATGAGGAAGAGAAGGGAGACTACCAGGATGGTTGGAGATGCTGAACCTATGGTTATCGTCTTACCCTGAAAAAATCAAAAGGTAGCAAATAAAAGTTAATTTTGACAAATATATTGCTTGAAATCTTCAAAAAGACATTTCAATTTTGTTCAGTGTAGAAATTTACTTTTGTTATGTTCAATATGATGTATTTCTGCAAAGTAATAAATGTCGCCAAAAAAAGAATTTCTACTCGGACATATTTTTACTGTAAATTTGTCTAGCTTGTATTAGTCATATTATCAAGGTTCAATCTTAATTTCGTCTTCTTATAGAAATTTACCTGGAAATATAAATGTCGTCTTCCATTTGAGCCTTTACCTGGAAATCTTAATGTCGTCTTCTAGAATTTTTACCTGGGCATTTTGTGATTGCAGAAGCTCTGCCCAACCCGGCATAAATCCGGGATTCCTTAAGCGAATTGTGATTATTCTTACATCACGAATACCCGCCGGATTACAGGGCTACCCACAAAAATTAAAACTTATATGAATGCGTATAAAAATAATGGTTGACTATTGGTTGTCATATCTGAATGATTTGTTAGGAATTAAATTGATTATTTTATAATCCGAGTTGAATGATCAACTATCTTAGTTTGTATGGACGCTACGTTATTCAGCATGAGTCGTTTTTAACAATTTTCTCCTTATAGACGCAACAGATAGAAGTAAGATTAGAACGATCAAAAGCGCTTATTTTTTGCCCTAATCCTATACCCCCTTTCATTTTTCGCGAACACTCCCTTTAAGAATGAGACTAGAATTTTCAAAAAGTTACCAAACCATTTGAAATGCTGATCTTTAACACAACATTTTTACAATTTTAATTAAATTGAGACAGGAGACCTAATTTTAATTTCAGATCTGATATGTAAAGCTTTTAAGGTCGTCCCTTATTTGTAGGTAGTGGTACCCTGTTATAGTGTTGTAATGTACATCGTAAATGCATTGACTCAAAAACACAAAAACTTAGATAATATATTTTAGTCCAACAATGTCTAAATATTTCTATAAGTAAGACTGATCCTTTCTTTATTGTATAACATTTTTATTTCATTTCCGTTATTTCCCTGGGTAAATCCATCTACGCAGTCTGCACAGTAAACATATTAAAAGTTTATACGAGAAAGTTTTTCTAATTTTTCGGTTCTCTAGTTCTCTGGACGTTTCAAGAAATAACTTGATTAAATGTTTCCAGGAGCGAGACATCTTATCCTTGATGGAGAAAATAATAATAAGGATGAAAGAGTAGAAATAGAAAAATAAGGCAGAAAGAGGAAAACGAAAAAAGAAGGATGAGAAATATTAAGTTAAAAATAAAACAGAAAAGGAATTGCGGAGAAAAATAAAAATAAAAGTTGAAAGAGGAGAATTAGAAAAGTAAAAATGAAAGAGGAGAATTAAAAAAGTAAACTGAAGCAGAAAACGGATAACCAAAAAAATTAAGAACGAGAAATGAAAAGCAAAAAATAAATAATGGAAAAACCTGAAAAATCAAGCATTTTATGGAAAAATCAGGAGAAGCAAGAATAAAAACGGATTTATCATATTCAGAAAGTCGTCTTCAATATCTCTGTATATACAGGGTGTCCCAAAAAACATGGGAATTCAGTGACGAATTGGATATCGTCTTTGTTATGAATTAGCATTGTAGTACCTAATTTCAAGAGCCATAATATTATTATGTCTGCTAGAGTTTATTTTATGAAAATGGTAAATGGCTGTAAAGGTGTGTCTATAATGTCTCTGCAAGATGAACAGTGAAGACGGACAAGTTTACTCTGTTTGTATACTGTAATTTTCTTGTTTTACTAAGTACAACCGTATGCAGTCAAAACATAAACAAACAAAATGTGAACTTAGCAGACGAAACTCTTACAAATTATAGCTTTCTCAGTAGGTATCACTTTACTAAATCAAAGAATTATCTAAAAAGACGATATCGAATTCGTCACTGAATTCCCATGTTTTTTGGGACACCCTGTACCTGGTAAACCAGATGAGGACAAGTGTAGAGAAGAGGGATAAAACTGATTTCTCGTGAAAAGACATCGGACCAAGAGATTTATATTTTTCTAAACAAATATTTTAATCAGAATTGGGAACTTTTGAATGGGATATCCTTAATCCCGACCGGTTGATTAACTGGAGATTAATAACAAGAGGAGAACAAGCATTATGTAACCTTAAGATTAAGAAAAAGAGGAGATCAAGCATTGATCTCAATATCCACCATTATAAAGTTTTCAGCTCATATATCTCTGTAAAAACATTAAAAAAAAACATGTCCAGAATCCAGATTGTGCAGACTTTTACATTTCTTCTCTAGACATCTAACTCTGTTACAAAGGTGTTGCATCAAAAGGACTATTGAACAATGATTCATTGGAGTGCACTTGAACGATAATTCAACCAGGCAGTAGTTCACACGATGCAGCAAACTTAATGGTAAATTTAACTAAAGTATTCTAGTGTTCAAGAACCCCGAAAAAGTTAGAAAGAAACCTAAATACGTTTGTTTATGTGGTAAGAATCAACATATTTTTCATGAATTTATCTATTATATTCTCGAGTTTTATTTTAAAAGAGGAACACTATCTATGATCTACTATTAAATGTCGTCTTTATGTCATTGAACTAAATTCCTAGTCCACAAAATCTGGACAAAGTGAACAAAAATAGGAAATAATTCATTGTTATTAAAATATTAAAGTTTAATGAAATTATGATTTCAAATTCAAATTCTGTATCTATCTAGAAATACAACAAAACAAGAAAACTCTGAAATAGGAAGACGACTTTTAAACTCCAGATATGACTTTAAATAGTCAAATAAGCATTAGATGGGGCAATTAATACAGTGTAAACAGACTCATTTCACTTTTTAATTTAATTAATAAGTACTTGTAAACTATTTGCATTGTAACAACATCAAATACACTTTAACTGTTTCTAAATGTCGACTTCCCTTCCACAGTTTTCTGTATACCTAGAAATATATTTTTTACTCCTAAATCAGGAGTTTGCTGTTTGTAGAGAAGAAACCGGATTTCAGATCCCAGGAAGTAAATCTATATTTTTCATTATTTTGTTTCTGCTTTTAAAATCAAAATATAGAAAAGTAAAAGAGACAGTGAGAATTTCAATTTTCATTGAAAATTTTTGTTTTCATCAAGACGACCTTCAAACTCTCTGGTATTGTCTTTGTTTATTAAAATTGAGGATGTAAAATAGGAATTGAGACTTTGCCACAAACTCTGATATTTTAAACTACAGTGAAACCCTTAATAACGAATACATCGAAAGAATTCATCAAGTGTTGTATTCTTCACTTTCTGATAATGGCATTTTGCAGATATTTAGTTTTTTAATTAAATGATTATATGGAACTCTTTAAAACTATTCGCGCATATTCATGGCTATTTATTTATTTTCGCAAATACTGAAATTTACGTAATATAGTATAAAACTCATTGAAAAATTGTAAAGACGACATTTGATAAATTCTTCCGATGTATTCGTTATTAAGGGTTTCACTGTATGATTTCTGTAAGATTAAATATTTAAGATTGAAAAATCAAAAGTTTAAACCATTAAGTTGAAAAGATATAGGGATTAGAAAATTTGAGTTTGTGGCAAAAGATTATTCTGCACTAAAGATGAGACTTCAAAGACGACATGAAAGATTGGTTCAGCCTAAATTCTTAAATTTATGGCGTCTTAGCATCAAATTTTATTTGTTTTTTATAAGCGAATTAGGCAAGAGACGATTGTACAGTATACAGTGTACAGTGTACAGTGTACAATGTACAGTTTACAGTGTACAGTGTACAGTGTACAGTGTACAGTGTACAGTGTACATTTGACAGTGTACAGTGTACACTGTACAGTGTACAGTGTACAGAATTAATTCAAACGTTGTTCTTTCATCGATGGTTCCGTTTCTTTCTGCAAAATCTTAAAAGATAACCATTAAAAGTCCATAATTAGGGCAGAAACTCAAACTCACCTTTAAACGTTGTTTTAAAAGAGTTTCAGGTCGTCTCGATCAAGTCTCAACCTTTGTGGGTAACCCTGTATTTACTAACTGATAAGATTGACAACATGGTTGAAAAATGCAATAATAAAAAAATAAAAAAAATAAAAAATATTCCTGAAGGATTGTCCAAACGAATACAAGGTTTAGAACTAATTGAGGAACTGCAAACAGAATCCAACTTCCAAAATTCAATGGTTGGCCTATAAAAAAAAGTGATAAAAATTCATGAAATAAATAATACCCCTTCTCCCCCCCCCCCCTCCCCTTTAACAAAACACATTCATGAGTATCTTTGTATATAAAGCAGTAATCTCTGTTTGTTTGTTTGTATGTCCGATTTTATTCAGGAACTCCATGCATGATCGATTTGATTGGGGAATTCGGGAGAACCACGGGAATGTTCCTAGCTTGGTTTTGAGATTCAAAGTTGGGTCGGTCGACTCTTATAGGGAAAAATAGCAAAAAATCCTAAATTAAGACTAAGCAAGGGTAAACGGTGGAAGTAACTATGATCAACCCGGGCAACGCTGGGTTTCTAACCTAGGAACCTATATATTTACCTACATATGGCTGCAGAAACTCCATTAGAATCATATTAGGTGGAGTTCCTAAAAAAATCCTAATTATGATCTTGAGATAGAGGATATTTTGAATATTTGATATACTTATTTAAAGGGAGTGGCGGGCAAGGAGGACAAAGGCTTTTACAGTTTTTACAGGTTGTAAAAAAACTCTTTTGTTTAAAAAAGATAATTTTATTCAGTCCTCTATTGTGTTAAACTTAGTCAAACTAAATTGTTTCGCCAGATTTCCTAGATAATTACATTGCTAAGACACCCTTTGAAGAAATTTGAGAAAATCTGTGATTGAAATAAGAAATTTGAGAAAATAATGAAATAAAGAAAGAATCACCTCTGTTAAACACTATTGATTTTATCGAAAACATTTCTAAGAAATCTGTTCATATGCAGCATAACCACATCATATTTCTGATATTGGACGTTCTGAATTTTATTTTCTCCTTAATTATTTCTTGAATACTATTTTATTACAAAGAGAACAGCATAACATTCTTTTATATAGTTATTAAGTAAATAACATTGTAGATATTATTCATAGCTTTTTTACATTGAAAAATGTAAAGCTTATGTTACTCCTTGATAAAGAAAATGTGACCTATTATCGTTCCTGTTCCTCCAACATTTGCAGCATAGGCAACACTTAAAAGCATCATTGTCCTAAATAGAGACGACATTAAAGGAAGACGCACCATGGATGAGGGTCATAGAGGAAAGACAAATGTGTGACATGCAGAATTACCCACAAAGGATGAAACCGTAAAGACGACCCGAAACTCTAAAAATATAACGAATTAAAGCTTGATTTTTGGTTTTGGTAGTCAATTGACTATTTTGATTGTTAACTAAATGATTAAGCACAGAAACACCATCAGTTTTGGCCTTCAAGGAAACCCGAATGCAAGAAAACGGACTCATCAAATTCCGTACAATCGTCTCTGAAGTCTCGTCCTTTGTGGGTAACCCTGTATGTTTACTCTATACTGACATACAGGGTAATCCACAACTCATGGGACTTCAGAGACGACTGAACGGAATTTATGCAGACTTTCTTCTTACAGTTTTGCAGTTCCCTGGAACCAGAGCCCGCGATTTAAAAACTTCGGGAAAATACGGCTCGTGTCTAAGCTGTCGTTGGGCCTTATTTACAACTTGAGCTTTCGGATTCAAGCTGCATCTTATTTTCCACAGATTTGAGTTAAAAACTGGTTTAATATTCTATTTGGCTGATTTTCATGGCAGAAAATGGCGCATTCTGGGTTTTTATGAGAACAAGGCTCAATATTAAGCCTTCTTCTTCACTTAAACCAACCAAGGTCGGTTTCATTTTCATTGGGCCTCCTTACGTCGAGCCGAAGATCTTGCAGCTGTCAATTACGTGACACAAGCTGTCGTGAGAGTTGGGTAGAAGATTGTGTCTTAAAGTCGGGTTTAAGGAACTATAAGGCTTAAGCTTAAAATTTTAATTCGCGGGCTCAGGTACAGTGATAATCAGAAAACTCTGGAATACGAAGTCGACTTTTAAACTCAAGCTATGACTTTTAAGAGCGCATCGAACATGAGACACAGCAATTGTGCAACGTAAACAGACCCATTTCACTTAATAAGTAATTTATTAACTTTCAAGTAAAGCTATTTGATTTAAACAACATCAAATACACTTCAGAACTAAGTTTAAGCTTGGATAAAGGGGAGATCCTTCGTTCAAAAGCTTGAAGACATGCTCTTGTTACGCGAGCCATGCTGCGTATAGAAAGTCTGTTTGTCGCCCCTGTGTATTTCTGAGCTCCCCCTGAAGATCTGTACGGAATGTATTGTGAAAGAACTAGTTTAGGAACTGTTTACAGTCCGACTGCGCAGACGCAAGATTTCTCGCGGAATAGTAACTAATTTATGTCAGTATATGTTTATTCGTTTTGCAAGTATTAGCCGTGTTCAGAATTCTGGGATCACTGAGGTAACTATTTTTATATATATTTATGCTTGTCGGTTTGATTATAATATGATTGATATTTGTATATGTGTTTATTGGTTCCTAGCCACAGTTTTTTAATGCCTGAGTGAATTATTTATTGTAGTTGTATGATTTGTCACTCAAAGCTTTTTCTGTGGGTTTATTAAACTTATTTAGATTGAAGGCTCAGAGAAATAAACGTTCGGAACCTTACTATCATCCTTTTTATTATGAAGAGCGTTGAGAGAAGGGAGTCTTACGATCCGGTCCTGAGAAATACCACACGGTATATATATTAGGTCTTTAGGGAAATCGCTAAGTAGCGAAACAGCTCTATAAAGATGGGTTTAAGAATATTCAGAAAAAGTTGTTGGAAAATAAATAAATTTAGGAGTAAATTACTAGATATACATATTTAAAGATCAAAATCATAATCACTTAGGTGCTAATTCTAATTCTATAAGGTTTGCATGCACATAGATATATTGTCGAATACATATGGTTACCTACAAAGGATCAGACTTTTATATAAAAACCTATCAACATGACGATATGAGGGATCAATAAGGACTTTTCTACTTAATTTGGTTTTATAAGGTACAGTAATTGATCCGGAGAAAAAAACTCAAGATCACAACTGGAGAGTACCAGGAAATTAAGAAGAAAAAAGACTGAATATAAAGTCTGTACAGTAATCTCTGAAGACTCGTGCTTTGATGATGTACCATGCTTTATCTAAGTTACCTCATTTTTATTTGTATTTATAAAGGAACTAACCTGTGTTTGTGTTTAAGATTTAAATGCTCTAAAACAGCTTCCATTATAGGAAGCATCATTGCAGCAGCAGCAGCATTGGAAATCCACATAGACAAGAACGCTGTTGGAAGCATAAACCCAAACATAATCCTGGAATATAATCAGACTTTTTATTTTTTGACCTGCTTTAAGTGCTGTCAATTGTTAACAAGTTTACTCAGTGCACCGTGTCAGAATTGTATAAAATAAATAAAAGGATGTTTACAGGAATTCGTCCAGAGCTGGGAATTTTTGCCCGGGATACCTTTCATCCAAATTGCTTAATCTCGATATACACTGTGAACACTTTTGATTTTCTCTTTCTGGATATCCATTTGGGTTCAAACCATCATTGTTACGCGTAAATTTCTCGGTTTCTGATTGGCTTCTGCAAACGACACTCTGATTGATTGAATTTTAGAGACTTTCTTGGATGTCAAATAAAGCTTAACATTACAAGGAGATCAAGCATTGATCTCGATATCCACAGTTTCCGGCACATGGGGCGGGGGGGGGGGCTTATGGCACCATTGGGGGCTGATTTTATGCACACCTGCTAGTTCCAGTTCCTGCCACCAGGAGTGCTCTAATAGCAATTCTCTTATGCAGTCCTGATTCTTCCACTGCTAGAGCCATCATCAAACTGCCCATGTACATCATGTTTGTTCCCTGCATAAAATGGTATACATTGTGGTGAAATAGTTGTATGTGCAGAATTTTAGATAGATGGTAGTATCTAGTATACCAGGGTATACCTTCAGATAGATGGTAGAGGTAGTGTTGGTATCTAGTATACCAGGGTATACCTTGAGATAGATGGTAGTGTTGGTATCTAGTATACCAGGGTATACCTTGAGATAGATGGTAGAGGTATTGTTGGTATCTAGTATACCAGGGTATACCTTGAGATAGATGGTAGAGGTATTGTTGGTATCTAGTATACCAGGGTATACCTTGAGATAGATGGTAGAGTTAGAGTTGGTATCTAGTATACCAGGGTATACCTTGAGATAGATGGTAGAGGTAGTGTTGGTATCTAGTATACCAGGGTATACCTTGAGATAGATGGTAGAGTTAGTGTTGGTATCTAGTATACCAGGGTATACCTTGAGATAGATGGTAGAGGTAGTGTTGGTATCTAGTATACCAGGGTATACCTTGAGATAGATGGTAGAGGTATTGTTGGTATCTAGTATACCAGGGTATGCCTTGAGATAGATTGTAGAGGTATTGTTGGTATCTAGTATACCAGGGTATACCTTGAGATAGATGGTAGAGGTAGTGTTGGTATCTAGTATACCAGGGTATACCTTGAGATAGATGGTAGAGGTAGTGTTGGTATCTAGTATACCAAGGAATGGGAACATGAAAACAGGAAACATTGAAGTTACTGGAAGTGGAGCTAGCTCTAAAGTCCTAAATTTCAAAATGAAATGAAGGAAATAAATTTTATTTTTTTTATTTATGAAGTTTAATAATTACCAATAAACCGCCATTACTAGAACCACGAAGGCACATTTTAATGCAGTGCTTGATGTGAACAGGAATGGAGAGAAGAGCAATGGAGTTCCAACCTGGAGAACCAACTTTACCCACCACTTCATTCCACACTTAAATAAATCTCAATATTTGATATTCATAGCACATAACTGTTATGCAGTTGTATGATAAAAAGCTGAACACTTGCCTCAAACTCTAATTTTTGAATCTCTATATCTTTGGAACCTGATTATGCAAAGCTTTAGCATTTAAGCTTTGACTTCTAGATCTAGCAGTATTCGCAAATTTGAATATTAGAGGTCTTCGACGTTAGGTTTCAAAAATAAAGATTATGAAATTAGAATTTGAAGAAATTGCTCAGTTCTCTTTATTAGCAAATTGTTGGTATAAACCCTCTCCCTCGCAGATCTAAAAATGTAAAGTTTTAATCTATTTTAAGATTATTTATATCATATTCCATTCTGTCTGCGTAATTTAAGATTTCTTAAGTTTTATATGGTAAATTAGTACACTATTGCGTCAAATATAATGTCTCTGTTTTTGTGTGCATAAAATGCGTCTTTATCCATCAAATGCAATTAAAGAACATGACATGTCGATGACTGACAATTGAATTTTCTAAATATGAAATTATTCTTAAAAATTCTTTGAATCTTGTTTGGATAATTTAACACAGCATGCAATGCGGGATATAGAAGGAGGGGGAAGGAGAAGTATGAGGAGTAAAAAGGGGGTAATGGGATAGGAAACAAAAGGAGGGAAGGAGAAGGATTGAATTGGGTAAGAAGGGGGAAGGAGGGTTGGTATGTTGTTGAATGCCGTACTCTTAAAAGTTTTCTTCCCCCAAACTGTAGCAGTCCAGGCACAACCCGTACGCTATCCAATCCAACCAGGACACAACTCACCTGGCTCTAAATGGACACAAGAGTAGCTTATCAATCTAGCTACCACTCAGGCTCTAAATTCTAAACAAGGACACATGCATAGGCTACTTATCCAGCCCTTCTCTAACTCTAAAGGCCACACAAGGACACAAGCATAGGCTACTTATCCAGCCCTTCTCTAACTCTAAATGCCACACAAGGACACAAGCATAGGCTACTTATCCAGCCCTTCTCTAACTCTAAATGCCACACAAGGACACAAGCATAGGCTACTTATCCAGCCCTTCTCTAACTCTAAATGCCACACAAGGACCCAAGTATTGGCGACTTATCCATCAATTATTCAATATTATATCAATCTTTACCATATAACAAGGTATGATCTCTATTTGTATGTTTCAACGAAACCAAATAGACACAATTACAATACCTTTGTCGTTATCTATAACACATGATTTAAGGCAAATCATGTTACGCGATTACAGCACAATCAGGAATAGTTGTAATTGAGGATATGTCATCACATGATTAAGCCATGTTAAGTATTCATTTAGAACGCAGTTCAAATGAATAAATGGTATACAAACATTGATCTTTAATAATGTACAACGTACGGCAAAATTTATGGAATATCGTGTAGCCCGATATTTATTACAGGTTTGAGATGGAGAAGAGGAAAGGAAGGTAGGGTAGAAATAAGGTAGGAGGGAGGAGGGAGATAACGGTGATGAATTAGAAGGGGTGGGAAGATTTGGAACAATATTAGACAAAAATAAATGAGAATAGGTGGGCAGAGATGTGGAGGAGGAGATGGAGATGATAGAGAAGGGGTGAGTATAAAAGGGAGATTTGGAGATGGAGATGAAGGAGAAGGGGTGTTAAAAAAGAAGATGTAAAGAGAAGCGCAAATTTTTGCTTTCGTTACGCTACATTTTGGCGCGAAAAAATAGCACTTTGCGCAATCATTTGCAAACTTTGTTTTGCACAAAATTGCGCTATTCCGCTTTTGCGCAATTTTGCGAGACAAATTCTCATTGTATAAATTAGTTTTCTATGAGATTGCACTTTTTGGAATATAATTGCAATGCTTAATGGGGAACCAATTCATTGGCTTAAAACTCTATTTTGCAACCTGATGGCACACTGCCAATCAAGATGTGCACGCTCTCACACAAAAATTGAGCAGTATTTTGCCAACTACTCAAACTTAAGCTAGAAACAGACGCGTATGCATTTTTAAAATATGTCAAAGCTTAGAAAAAAGGTAGATACAAAGGTCAAGGCGGTGATACACTTTAAAGTTGAAGCTGTATAGAAATTTGATGACTCGGGATTTTCTATATCTCAGTGGGCATACACCTTTGATATTTCAATCATATGCATAATCGACTAGAAGTAGTCAACATTTGAAATATCAAAGGTTGCGACGATTTTAAAATAAACTATGCATCAATTTTCAATTTTTAATTTTCTAATTTCTTTTATTATTAATATTTGTTTCACAATTTGAAGTTTGTGTTACTAAAAGTAACCAATTCAGAGTAGCATAATTATAATTTTGTTTGTATTTACATTTTTAAATGAACCTTTAGATGTTTTATTCTGTGTTAAAAATTTTCAATTTTGGTCAATTGCGTAAAAAAGGAATTGAGTCTTTGTAACAAAATCAAATATTTATACCCCAATATCTTTAGAACCCGATGTTGTAAACCTTTGATATTTCAAACTCTGATTATTTAATTTAACAGAATTTATAGTTTGAAATATCTAAGGTCTGTAACATTTCGTTCCAAAGATATAGTGATTAGAAAATCAGAGTTTGTGGCAAAGAGTCAATTCCTTTCGTTTTGTGCAAACTACGCCAAAATAATTCGCAAAAACGCACATTGCGCGAAAATTACGCAATTTTTGCGCAAAAAATGGGGTCATTTCGTGGAAACCCTATGGAAAGAGAGAGAAGTACACGGAGGTGGAAGAGAGAAAGAAGAAGGAGGAATGAGGTTGCGATGAAAAAGGGTAAGGGAGGGAGGGGAATACGATAAATGGGAAGGAGATTTCATTTTCAAGTTCACAAGATTAGCATCTCGGAGTTTATATAAATAAAAGCATTTTAGGATGAAAAAAGGCCACGTGCTAGTATTTATAAAAATAGGACAATTCAAAACTGTTCTTACAAATTGTCAGATGGGTAATTTATGAATAAATTTGACATTTTTTGTCCAAATCAAAGAATGTTTCCACCTGTTATTTTCAAAGCGTACGCAAGTATAATTATAATCAAATTAATAAATAAACTCCTAAACAGAACTACAGTCCCTCTACTATAAAACTATCCTTATTTATCTTGTATGAAGGATGCACGAGCGATGTGAATGTATCACCAGAATTATCTCTTAAGACAGATTAAATTAAAATAGTGTAAATGACAAGTTTGCTTTCCCTAACGGAGTCTTGTTTACTGAGATTTCAAGTTCAAATCTGGGATGTATCAAGCAGTTTCGAGCTGTGGGGCCGGCGGATATGGAGGAGTAAAGAGAGCAGAGAAAGGACGGATATGAGAAGGAGTTCAGAGCAAGGACGTATAAAAAGTGGAGTTCAGCGCAAGGAAGGATATAAGTGGGAGTTCAGAGCAAGGACGGAAATAAAGGAGATTAGCGCAAAGACGGATATGAAGTGGAGTTTAGAGCAAGAACGGATATGAAGGGGAGTTCAGAGCAAGGACGTATATAAAGGGGAGTTCAGAGCAAGGACGGATATGAAGTGCAGTTTAGAGCAAGGCGTTTATAAAAGTGAGTTCAGAGCAAGGACATATATGAAGGGGAGTTCAGAGCAAGGACAGATATAAGTGGGAGTTTAGAGTAGGGTCGGAAATAAAGGAGTTCAGAGCAAGGGCGGATATGAGGTGGAGTTCAGAGAAAGGACGGATGTGAAGGGGAGTTCAAAGCAAGGACGGATGTGAAGGGGAGTTCAAAGCTAGTACGTATATGAAGGGGAGTTCAGAGCAAGGACGGATATGAAGGGGAGTTTAGAGCTAGTACGTATATGAAGGGAAGTTCATAGTAAGGACGGATATGAACGGGAGTTTAGAGCAAGGGCGTATAAAAATGATGGTTCAGCGCAAGGAAGGAAATAAAGGAGTTTAGAGCAAGGACAGATATGGAATGGAGCTCCGAGCAAGAACGGATATAAAGGGAAGTTCAGAGCAAGGACGGATATGAAGGGGAGTTCAAAGCAAGAGCGGATATAAAGGGGAGTTCAGAGCAAGAGCGGAATTAAAGGGGAGTTCAGAGCAAGAGCGGAATTAAAGTGGAGTTCAGAGCAAGAGCGGATATGAAGGGGAGTTCAGAGCAAGAGCGGATATAAAGGGGAGTTCAGAGCAAGAGCGGATATGAAGGGGAGTTCAGAGCAAGGATTGATATGAAGTGGAGTTTAGAGCAGGGTCGTAAATAAAGGAAGTTAAAGAAAGGACTGATATGAACTTGAGTACAGAGCAAGGACGGATAAAGAGTGCTTTGTGCAAACAGAGAAGTAATTTAGGATTAGTAAAGAAAACTTACAAAAAAATTATTGAACAGAATTTTGATTGTGATTTTATCTTTAAATATAGAAAAACATGAAATGGGATATAGCTAAATAATGAAATTTTAAAATCTAGAAAAGAATCGTTGCCGAGCCCTTCTTTTCTGAACTTTATAACTCAATTACGGCGTTCAATCGTAAAATCTGGTCTGCACATTTTATATAAACTATAAAATCAATTGCAAAAATGTCAGAGAGAATTTTATTACAGCCAAGATAGTTTGCACTATCTATATATACCAGTATCTTTATCTACCATGAAACAATATTTTAAAGTATCTAAAAAACACCGTTTTATCAAAATCCTTTTAAACAGTTGGTAGAACTGCAGTAGTCGACAATACACGTGGAACTGAATACTTGTCAGAGGATTTGAAATGTGTAAAATTATAAAATCTTGTCTGGCAGTTATTTTTTCAATTTCAAGTACTGCCACTGACAGCTTTAAGGGACTGGAGACTCAATTTCAAGTAGTATGTCGGATTCACAACGGTACATTTAGATGCTTTCTCTAGCCAAGAATGTTTGAAAAAATTCGTCATTTTCTTTGAAAATTTTGAATCTGAGTTTCTTAACAATGTGATCTTACGGATTTAGGATTTAGAAACAGTGGAATAAATTGGCAAAAAGAAAGGCTTTACAAGCTAGAAGAACGACATTATCTTTCAACTTATTGATCAGATAAGGGTGCGTTGTGAATTGGACATTCCCCAATTTACATGAAGGGTCACTTAAAATTACGTATACAGTCCCTTTAAACACTCATAAAAAAATCAAATGACTTTTTAAGTGTTTTATGGAGACTGCTTGCTTGAAAATAACAATTCAAACAAGTGAACTAGTAAGGCCTCTTCATTTTTTTAGATTTTTCATATTTTGAAATCTTCAACTTATTTGTAGAAAGCTATTTATTTTGTTATCTTTCTATCTTTTCTATCAAATCATATTTTTTATATAGTTAGAATACAAAGTTAGAATATACAAAAGTTAGAATATACAAAAGTTAAAATATACAAAAGTTAGAATATACAAAAGTTAAGATATACAAAAGTTAAAATATACTAAAGTTAGAATATACTAAAGTTAAAATATACTAAAGTTAGAATATACTAAAGTTAGAATATACAAAAGTTAAAATATACTAAAGTTAGAATATACTAAAGTTAAAATATACTAAAGATAGAATATACAAAAGTTAAAATATACTAAAGTTAGAATATACTAAAGTTAAAATATACAAAAGTTAGAATATACTAAAGTTAAAATATACTAAAGTTAGAATATACTAAAGTTAAAATATACTTAAGTTAGAATATACTAAAGTTAAAATATACTAAAGTTAGAATATATTAAAGTTAAAATATACTAAAGTTAAAATATACTAAAGTTAGAATATACTAAAGTTAGAATATACAAAAGTTAAAATATACTAAAGTTAAAATATACTAAAGTTAGAATATACTAAAGTTAAAATATACTAAAGTTAGAATATACTAAAGTTAAAATATACTAAAGTTAGAATATACAAAAGTTAAAATATACTAAAGTTAGAATATACAAAAGTTAAAATATACTAAAGTTAGAATATACTAAAGTTAAAATATACTGCAATGATAACCAGAAAACTCTGAAATAGGAAGACGACTTTAAAGCAAAACTTGATGTTGTTACAAAGCAAATAGTTTTACTATACAATACTTATTAATTTACTAATTAAATGAAATATATCTTTTTACACTGCACAATTAATTGCTGTGTCCCATGCTTATTAGACTATTTAAAGTCATCATAACTTAATTATAAAAGTCGTCTCCCTATTTCAGAGTTTTCTGGTTATTACTATAAAGTTAGAATATACTCCACATTTCTGTATATTTTGTGTTTTCTAAAACATGTTGAAAAGATGCGGGTAGATTGTACTATTTTAACATTTTAACATTTTAACAACACTTATTCATTTCAAGTGCACTTCTATTGCAGGGTACGCACAACTAACATGATCTAAGTATGTCCGGCCTGTATCTGGATAAACCCAGAGATATTTGGATCTGTTTATCAAAATCTAGCAAACAAAGCACGATGGAGTAGATATGATTTGTAATGCACCCAACCCAGCAAAAAGTATAATTATATCAATACAAAAAATTTAAGTTTAATGCCTAAAACGGGTTTGAAAAAAAAAAGTCACCGACATTTTAACAAATACATCTAAATCACCGTGAGGGGTGTTTACAGAAATTAGTTCCAGTGTGTAAAAGGGAAAACTGCACACAGACACCCCCACCCCCTTCCAATATTCCCCCTTCCCCCTCCCCTCCTTCCTCTTCCTACTCTCAAAGAACTGTAATGCTTTGTTAATGCTTTTTTTCTAGANCCAACCTACCTATCTACCAACCTACCTATCTACCAACCTACCTATCTACCAACCTACCTATCTACCAACCTACCTATCTACCAACCTACCTATCTACCAACCTACCTATCTACCAACCTACCTATCTACCAACCTACCTATCTACCAACTTACCTATCTACCTATCTACCAACCAACCTATCTACCAACCTACCTATCTATCTATCTATCTTCCTATCTACCAACCTACCTATCTACCTACCTATCTATCTACCAACCTACCTATCTACCAACCTACCTATCTACCAACCTACCTATCTATCTATCTACCTACCTATCTACCAACCTACCTACCTATCTACCAACCAACCTATCTCCCAACCTACCTATCTACCAACCTACCTATCTATCTATCTACCTACCTATCCCCAATATATTGCGTGTACAGTCTAAGTCTAGACTAGAAGAATTCCAACCCAAATATTATTCATTCAGAAACTGTTTGAAATATAATATTACTGGGGTAGAAAATCTTCTAATCCTGCCTCTTATTCAATTTTCCAGGCTCTTGATTTCATGTTCATAATATCCATGCACTCAATACTTTTTACATTCAATTTAAACCATACTGCCAGATAAAAGAAAATGAGGAAATGTCAGAAAAAATCAAATAAATATTTGGGGAATGTTGAAAATGGTTGTTTTGGGTTTAAAGAATCAATATATTAAGTAACTACTACTAAGAAAGTAAGCATATTATCTACAAAAAAATAGAAAATAACAAAAATACAAATTAAGTGTTCTATAAGGAAATATTTAAAAATCTACGAAAATAGAGGATTAGGGAAAGTTACATTTTTATTGTTTTCATTTTTAAAATAATTGGTGGTGGATTGTTAGCATTTTTCGGCAATGAACTCATAACTTATAGGAATAAGAATTGTAGGTTTTATACTAATATTGAAAGAAAAAAATTTGTTCAAAGTAGGTCAATTGTTTTTTTCGTTTTTTTTTAAATTTCTGTATCATATTACAAATTATTAAATAATATTAAATTTAAAAATCAGCGAGGAAAAACAAAAGATAACAAAAAAATAAAAATAAAAAAAATCTCCAAAGACAATTGTATTTATTTAATTTGTTATCAAATTATTTAGACTTATAGAAAATAAAATTAAAATTATTTTAAAAATGAGGATAGTAGGATGGAGGGTAGGAGGGGAGGGAAAATGAGGATAGGAGGATGGAGGGTAGGAGGGGAGGGAAAATAAGGATAGTAGGATGGAGGATAATTGGCGAGGAGAAAATGAGGATAGTAGGATGGAGGGTAGGAGGGGAGGGAAAATGAGGATAGGGGGATGGAGGGTAGGAGGGGAGGGAAAAAGGAAAAAAGAATGATAAATGTGTATAAATAATTTCACGCAACCTCTCTAAATGATGGCAGTAATGTCTGGTCCAAAGCAAAATATTTATTTTTAATCAATTTAGATTTATCTTTATTGTGAAATTGACATTTATATTTCTTGATTTATCCTAAACACTAAAAATACGTTTCACCCATTGCGCTTTCAACTTGATGTTAAAGAATCTGAAATAATCCAAAACTTACAAATTTGTATATTCTGCATTTTGTATTTCGGGAGTTGGTCTTTCAGGAAAATGTATTTTAGGAGTTTGTCTTTCAGAAGTTTGTCTTTCAGGAGTTTGTCATTTAGGAGTTGGTCTTTAAGGAGTTTGTATTTTTAGAGTTTATCTTTCATGATTTTGTAAAAAGGAGTTTGTCTTTCAGGAGTTTGTCTTTCAGGAGTTTGTCTTTCAGGAGTTTGCCATTTAGGAGTTGGTCTTTAAGGAGCTTGTCTTACAAGACATTTACTTTCAGGAGTTTGTGTTTAAAGTTTTAGGAGTTTGTCTTTCAAATGATTGCCTTTCAGGAGTTTTTCTTTCAGGAGTTTAAACTTTCAGGAGTTAAACTTTTCAGATTATTGCATTTCAGGAGTTTGTCTTTCAGGAGTTTGTCTTTCAGGAGTTTGTCTTCCAGGACTTTGTCTTTCAGGAGTTTGTCTTTCAGGAATTGGCTTTCAGGAGTTTGTCTTTTAGGAGTTTGTCTTTCAGGAGTTTGTCTTTCAGGAATTGTCTTTCAGGAGTTTGTCTTTTAGGAGTTTGTCTTTCTGGAGTTTCAAAATTTAATGGAAATCGAATTTTGTTGGAGGCCAATTTTTTTTTAATTTGATCATCCATAAACCGTCCCTGGGGTCAGGTGAGGTCCCACAAAAAATGTGGGCCGGATCGGTTCAGCCGTTTTGAATTCTATCGAACACAAACAAACAAGCAAACACCCAGACAAGCAAAGTACATATAAAGATAGATATATTCTGTTCTCCCTTGAATTTATTTTCTGTAGAGCTTGAAATAAATTAGTTGGTTGGAAGTACAGGAGAATGAATGATTATACCCCTCATCAGTATAAGTATATAATATATATATATTTAGATATTTGAACATATTTCTTATTTATTTCACTCCCTTTTTCCTCATCGTGACACCCTTGATTATGTTTAAAACCGGTTTTAAACTTTTTGTGGTTAGTTGTGACCCCGGATATTTATTTTCGTACTTTTTCCTCCTTTAGTATCGTAATGAAGGGCATAACGGTAGAATTGATTGTGCGAATTATAAGCATGAGGTTTGCAAATATGTTTACTTTGCCAAAAATGATTTATGGATTGTACTTTAGTTACGATCTTACGGCGAGAACTAAAGGTAAATTAGATGATTTGGCATATTCTGTGATTAATTTGCAGTTTGCAGAATAAATAGAAGGTCGCAGAATGCACGGTGATTTGCTTAACAAAGTGCAGACGGCTTAAGTAAACAGGATTTCGCAGAGCATGAAGCAATTTTCTCACAATCATAATTAGCTTTCTGGTCAATTATCAGTTTTCAAAATAACAAAAATGTGAATAAAAAATTTGCCGTTTTAATAATTTGTTCTCAATTTTTTCAAATAAACTACAATTTGAAGTATAAAAAATTTCTGAAAATAAACTGTATTTCAAAAATTAATGTAGTTTTGATGATAAAATAACGTTTGAATAAAGTTTAAGGTTTGAAATATTAACTGTATTTGGGAACATGAACTGTAGTTTGGAACATGAACTGTAGTTTGAAACATGAACTGTAGTTTGGAACATGAACTGTAGTTTGAAACATGAACTGTAGTTTGGAACATGAACTGTAGTTTGAAACATGAACTGTAGTTTGGAACATAAACTGTAGTTTGGAACATGAACTGTAGTTTGAAACATGAACTGTAGTTTGGAACATAAACTGTAGTTTAAAACATGAACTGCAGTTTGAAACATGAACTGTAGTTTGGAACATGAATTGAAGTTTGAAACATGAACTGTAGTTTGGAACATGAACTGTAGTTGAGAACCTGAACTGTAGTTTAAAACATGAATTGTAGTTTCAAACGTAGTTTCAAACATGAATTGAAGTTGAGAACATGAATTGTAGTTTCAAACATGAACTGTAGTTTGGAACATGAACTGTAGTTTGAAACATGAACTGTAGTTTGGAACATAAACTGTAGTTTGAAACATGAACTGTAGTTTGAAACATGAACTGTAGTTGAGAACATGAACTGTAGTAGTTTCAAACATGAACTGTAGTTTCAAACATGAACTGTAGTTTGAAACATGAATTGAAGTTTGAAACATGAACTGTAGTTTGAAACATGAACTGTAGTTTGAAACATGAACTGTAGTTGAGAACATGAATTGTGGTTTCAAACATGAACTGTAGTTTGGAACATGAACTGTAGTTTAAAACATGACCTGTAGTTTGGAACATGAACTGTAGTTTGAAATATGAACTGTAGTTTGGAACATGAACTGTAGTTTGAAACATGAACTGTAGTTTCAAACATGAACTGTAGTTTCAAACATGAATTGAAGTTTGAAACATGAACTGTAGTTTGGAACATGAAAGGTAGTTGAGAACATAAATTGTAGTTTCAAACATGAACTGTAGTTTGGAACATGAACTGTAGTTTGAAACATGAACTGTAGTTTGAAACATGAACTCTAGTTTGGAACATGAACTTTAGTTTGGAACATGAACTGTAGTTGAGAACATGAACTGTAGTAGTTTCAAACATGAACTGTAGTTTCAAACATGAACTGTAGTTTGGAACATGAACTGTAGTTGAGAACATGAATTGTAGTTTCAAACATGAACTGTAGTTTGGAACATGAACTGTAGTTTGAAACATGAACTGTAGTTTGAAACATGAACTGTATAGTGTAAAACATGAACTGTAGTTTAAAACATGAACTATAGTTTGGAACATACACTGTAGGTTGGAACATGAACTTTAGTTTGAATTATGAACTGTAGTTTGGAACATGAACTGTATTTTGAAACATGAACTGCAGTTTGCATACTGCAGCATGCAGTGCAGTGTTTAGATGACTAGAATTATGCCTGATTGGGTCGTAAACCAGGATTACACATAATAACCAACATTACCCTTTGTACCTGACGGTATGCTGGAAGTGGAAACTTTAGGCGAAACAACAGAAAAGTCCAAGTTTGGAAAAAATAAAATTCTGTGTTTAATTGAGCGTAGCGTTGTAAATTGTACATGCCTCCTTATTTACTTTCTCTACCTTAAAGCATCGAAAATTACAACAAATAATGATAATTTATCATAAAGTTCCAACCCACCTAACCAGAGGCCGAATTTAAAAATTTGAACCGCATAGCTGAACCGCCAAAAAAACGGTTCCAATTGAGCGCCGGCTCAAATCTCGATACACATATTAAAATTTCCAGCTGAACCAACCATGTTTGAATCGAATCTAATACAAATTTTGAGTCAGGGGGGTGGGGGGGGGGGGGCTATGAAGAATGTCAGATAATCTGTGGGATAGGATTAAATGAAGACAGAATGAAAAAGATATTTTTATAAAACCTACTTTTTCACATTTAAAACTATCATATGTTTTAAGACAAATATTGATAACCTTTCGTCTAAAGATTTTTGCACATATGGTTTCTTTTAGCTTTATTCGAATTCAAAACCAGATTTGTGAACGAAAAGCTTTCTAGAAGTTTTATTTTAAACCCAGAGACCAAATTTAATGAATTTGAGCTGAACTACTTACTTCCGGATCAAATTTGAACCGCCGATTCAATGTTAAAAATTAAGGAAGGATTTAAATCGGTTAATTATATTTGAATATTTGAATATATTAAATTCGGCTCTTGTACAACTTTTTTATGATTCTCTTCTATTTGGTTCAGCTACAGATCTCTAAATCTGCATTAAAGTGCTAACTATCAAACCTTTTTTTGATTTTTGTTTTTTTCATTCCTTTTTTTGCCAGTTTACAGCTTTCAACCCCCTTTCCATGTAAAACCCATACTCAATATGCGGCCTTACAAAAGAGTTGAAATAAGAAGTTTACAACTAGAATCAATGCAAAGATTGGACTGGCAAAATATGAATCAAAAAAGACGAAACCAAGTTTATCTCCAAAAGATTCAAAATATTTTAAGTTTTAACCTCAACTGTTGGGCTGTGCTTAATAATTCTGCGGGTATAAGATGCAAAGCTATAATTAAACAGTATTTTTTCTAGTTGCACAACGTATGCACAAAAATGCAAATATTATTGCACCATGGGTATGCTTTACAGGGTGAAATGAGAGGGGGGGGGGTTAAAGAAGTAATAAAAGAAATAATTAATAAAAAACTCGAAATTAACTGATTATTCAAAAAAGGATCAAACCTTGTTATTTTTTTTAAATTGAGACGAATCGTAACTAAATAGAAATTTTTTCTTTTCCTTGAAATTCCGAGAGAAAATTTGAATAATGAGTTAGATAGGAAAAAGGGCACAGAACGCCACAAATTCCTGGTATAGTATTATACAGTGTATACAGAAACCATGGAGACAGGTTTCTCCTTGAGAATCCAGGGAATTCCATTCATTCTAAACAGACAAACAGACAAACAGACAAACACCAAAACAGACAAACAGACAAATAAAAAAACAGACAATCCAAAAGTCAAACAATTAAACAGTCAAGCAATGAAACAGTCAAAAAGTCAAACAGTCAAACATTCAAAAACTCAAGCAGTGAGACATTTAAAAAGTCAAACAAAATCTTGATACTTTGGAACCTCTATATTGAGTAATGACTTTACTTGGAACTAAAATAAACTGGAACCACTTGATCTATGTATTTAAGTACATAGTTACATTAAACTTCAAAATTCTGTAAATTGACATTGCTGGCATATTCTCTAAAATATTTCCATTCATGAGATATCTTCCTTTAATGAAAACTCTTCTATCCATGAGAACTCTTCTATTCTTGAGAACTCTTCTATTCATGAGAACTCTTCTATTCATCTCTTCTATTTATGAGAACTCTTCTATTCATGAGAACTCTTCTATTCATGAGAACTCTTCTATTCATGAGAACTCTTCTATTCATGAGAACTCTTCTATTCATAAGAACTCTTCTATTCATGAGAACTCTTCTATTCTTGAGAACTCTTCTATCCATGAGAACTCTTCTATTTATGAGAACTCTTCTATTCATGAGAACTCTTCTATTCATGAAAACTCATCTATTCATGAGAACCCATCTATTCCTGAGAACTCTTCTATTCATGAGAACTCTTCTATTCATGAGAACTCTTCTATTTATGAGAGCTCTTATATTCATGAGAACTCTTCTATTCTTGAGAACTCTTCTATTCATGAGAACTCTTCTATTCATGAGAGCTCTTATATTCATGAGAACTCTTCTATTCATGAGAACCCATCTATTCATGAGAACTCTTCTATTCATGAGAACTCTTCTATTCATGAGAACTCTTCTATTCATGAGAACTCGTTTATTTATGAGAACTCTTCTATTCATGAGAACTCTTCTTTTCATGAGAACTCTTCTATTCATGAGAACGTTTCTATTTATGAGAACTCTTCTATTCATGAGAACTCTCCCATTCGTGAGAACTCTCCAAATTTTGAGAACTCACCCGTTTGTGAAAACTCTTCCATCCTTTAGAACTCTGCCATCATTTAGAACTCTTCCATCCTTTAGAACTCTTTCACATCAGGCTTGGTGTTAGAAGACAATAATCACTAATCTTTTGTCACGTGATTACTGATCAATCATCATTTGAATATTCTTCACGGGGTTCATATTTTCAATTATCATTCATCTCTGTGTTACATCATTATGGTATTTGCTAGGCTGAATGAATGAATGAATAAGTGAAGAAATGAATGAAGAAGTGTCTCCTTTATTCAATGATTTTTCAACAAAATATCTTGAGCCTGCCAATACTTGATATAAAACAGATGTACAGAAATGTCTACTCTGAAAGATTAGTTTGAGCGGTTTATCTATACAAATTAAGTTGTAATCGATGTTTTTCTGTTTGTTTGTCCGATCATAACTCGGAAACCCCTGGACCGATTTGCCTCAAATTTTGATTGTTCTATCTGGCTTGATACAGACCTAAGAATTATTGTTGAACATGGAGTTCAAGAGCAAGTTGTATCTGCACGATACATACTGAGGAATACAGAGGTTGTATCTCGATTCTCGATTGATAGATACAGAAGAATACAGAAGGTTATACCTGGATTGGTACTGACTTAAAAGAAACTATTGGAGTAAGGCATTTGTTACTTTGATATTCTAAGTTGAGTGGGTCCACTTTTATAGGGAAAAATGGCAAAAATCGTAGTTTATGACCACATGCGGGTAAACTACGGGAGTAACTATGAGACTAGGGCTGGTCGATGTTCCTGGGGAACGATCGTTCTTTCACGAGAATGAACATAACTATCAAGACCAATCCCATCATTCCAAAAAAGGAACATTGAAATGATTAGTAAAAGAGCGGACCAGAACGAAATGGAAATTGCTTAAAAAGAAGGTTAAAATCAGGAATGAGTTCTTATTATAAAGAACGCGTTCTAATTCGGGAACACATTTTAAATCAGGAACGATTAAAAGATACATTTAATTCGATCCCCCTGCCCCCCCCCCCCACTCTTAACACGCCCCCTTCCCCAGCCTCCCTTATTGAAGGGTACGGGGATGAAATAGTTCTTTGACTAAGAACACGAAGAACAGAACGGAATGGAACAAGAGCAGAACGATTTGAAGAAAAGAAAGAGAACGGAACTATCTCGCTGAAGGCCCTTGTTCTAGAACGAAAAGGAACGATTTCAAAAAAGTTGGAACGTGCCCAGCCCAAACTATGAGTTCCCTAGGCAACGCTGGGTTCTCAAGCTAGTAGTGCGATTAGGTAGGAATGGTACTAGACATTATTTGTACTATTCTACATAGTAAATAAATACGCATATTGCTATTGCAGCAAATGTATCCATTTCTGTGCTACGTTTGTAAAATATGTTAATATCCATTTCTTTATTGCTATTGAAGGATACGTTGCCTCAAATGTCGGTATCCATTTGTGCACTGCTATTTCTAAAAAAAAGATGTTTGTTTACAGTGTTATGATCCTGTCAGACTCAGCAGGGATCTGTAGAAACTAAACATTCATTCATTTCATTTAATTCATTCATTTCATTCATTTAATTCATTTCATTCATTTCATTCATTTCATTCATTTCATTCATTTCATTTATAGACGGATATATTAAGGAAAATATACAGATTAAAGATGAATGTATAGACGGATATATTAAGGAAAATACACAGATTAAAGATGAATGTATAGACGGATATATTAAGGAAAATATACAGATTAAAGATGAATGAATATTAAGGAAAAAGTATAATTAAGAAACGGTGTTTACGGTCTTATTTGGTCTGAAGATCTGTGGGAAGAAGATTGCAGGTGTTCAACCTATCTCCCCTCCTGACCCCGGCTGGCTGGTCAGAGTGTTGAAGACGGGTCGGATACAAAAACGAATATCCGACTCTTTGTACAATTCTTCTATACTCTAGACGGACACTTCCGATACTAACAATACAGATCGATCTACAATAGGTTTTGGTTAGACGTAGAAAAGATCGGACGGACGCACAAAGGTCCAGACTGGAATAGAAATCTATTGATCGAGTAAAATTATTTGTCCAGGATTGAATTGAATACAGGGATTAAAGGTTCCCATGCCGACCGGATATCGGGGCAACCGGATGTAGGATTCTCAGAGAAGAAACAGGAAATAGAACTTTGCTTACATTTGCCATTTGGAAACGTTAACAATCAAAACCAGTACGTATTTTTAAGCCAAAATATTTACTGACATTTTATTTGATCAGATAGTCGTACACACCCATTAAACAAATCAAGAAAACTCTTGCTAAGAAGCCACAAAAAAATAATCATAAAAGCTTTTTTAATCCCACCAATGAGAGCATACTGGAAACAAATCATGAAAAATTTCAAAATTATGAAAACTCTCCGTGAAGAAACCATGAAAATTCTTTGAACAAACTATAACATCTTTAAACAAACCATGAAACGTTCACACAAACTTTGAAAACTCTTAAGTAACAATTTATGAAAACCTAAAAGCAAACACCAGAACCTACCAAAAACAAAACATGAAAACTTGCTGAAAACTTGTAAAAACCTCATAAAACTAACAAAAAACGATTGAATCATGAAAACCATAAAAACTTTTTTAAACGAACTGTACCTTTAGTTCCCCCCCACCCCACCTCCCCCCAATCAAAAAATTTCAAAAACCATCTTAAAAACTAGATCTGTACATTAAACTCTGAAAACCCTCTCAAACAAATCAAGAAAAGAAGAAAAGTTTAGAATTTCAACACAAATTAAGAAAAAAAGAGAAAAGAATTTTAACACAAAATTATTAAATCCACCAAACCAAACTAAACCAAACTAAACCAAACCAAACTAAACTTGTAAGGCGCTGAGCACCCTCTTTTTCCTTTTCACAAATTTCCCGCTTAAATGTTGCTTTTCTGTGTAATTGCAAAACTCAACTTTTCTCGGATATTTCTATTAAAGTTTGTGCATTACATTCTTTTTCTTTCTTCAATTTAGACGGTCCAAAATCCTTGCCTGGGGTCATGTTAGTTGCCAAAAAAAATTGGACCCAATCGGTTCAGACGTTATCGGATACAGACACACAATAAAAGTATATAGGCCATCGAATAAATATATTTAATGGTTACTCATTATCCTTCATCCTATCTGGTACAGGTTTTGAAAGCATGAATCTTGGAAGGTCAGATAAAAAGAAACAAGATTGAAATAAAGATCTATTATTAATCAAATATTAAAGGACAAATTTCAATTTTAAATTTTTAATTTGAGAACTGAGATATTGACATTTTTGAACCGGGACAACATTGTTAAAATATTGATTCTCATTTATTCAATTTGTTTTTTAACAGCTCGGGAATCCAGCGTTGCCCGGAAATTTAGCTTTCCCTATAAAGGTCAACATATTCAGCTTAGACTGTTCAAATCAAGCTCAGAACATTCCTGTGGTTCTATCGAGTTCCCCGATAAAAAATTGAGGCAAATCGGTGTTATTTTCAGATTCTATGAAAAGAAAAACAAAACAAAAATAATGCAGAATAAAAAGCGAAAATAGATATTTTGCAGAAAGACTTAAACTTTTTTAAGGAACCTTTGTAGAAAATAATTCACATTTTCATAAAGCGATCAAGTATTTGCCGCAAACTCGAATTTTCTAATACCTTTATCATTGCAACTTGATAGTGAAAACCAGCTTTGGATATTTTAATTAAACTTAGATTATTTTCCTAATTGTAATTGTAATTGTAATAATTGTTATCACGTAATACTCTATTGTAATCCTTTAATTGTACATAATATGTATTGTAATATTGTAATTATATGATTATGCAGTTTTGTGATGGTTAACTAATTGTAATCATGTAATATAGTACTAATTAACGTAATGCTATTTAGTAATGTTACCATTTTGATCATGTAATTGTACAAATTGTGATCATTTCATCTATACTTTGCTTGTCTGGTTGTTTGTTTGTTTGATTGTTTGTATCCAATAAACGTCAAAACGTCTTAACCAATCCGGCCCAAATATTTTGTTGAACCTCACAAAACCCTAGGGAAGGTTTATGAATGATTAAAATAAAAAATTGGCCTCTAACTAAATTCTATTTCCATAAAATTTTGAAAATCTACAAAATGTTTTTTTTTGTAAAATCCGCGAAGTTTTGTGTTGACATATCATGACTACATATGTTTTTAAAATTAAAATTATAAACTTTACTAAATGTACAAGCATTGTTTAAATGAACCTAAAGGAAGTAGTAGAAGTATAGGAAGGATTAAAGGATGGAGGTTCCATCCTTCTTCATCCTCTTCATCCTTTTCATCCTCTTCATCCTCTTCATTCCCTTCATTCTCTTCATCCTCTTCATCCTCTTCATCCTTCTTCATTCTTGTTCATCCTCTTTATCCTCTTCCTTCTTCATCCTTCTTCATTCTTCTTCATTCTTGTTCATCCTCTTCATCCTCTTCTTCCTCTTCTTCCTCGTCATCCTTGTTCGTCCTTCCCAGCTTCATCTTCTATCATTCCAAGCTTCATTCATTTTTTATTCTTCCTTTTTAGCCTCATTCATTCATTCCTTCGAGCTTGATTCATCCTTTTATTAGTTCACCTAAGCTTTATTCATTTATTAATTCATCCTGTTGTTTTACTTCATTCACTCTTCTTTAGTCTTTCCGGTCTCATAATTCATCCTATTCGGCTATTTTGATTCATTCATTCATACCATGAGTTGAATAAACGATTGTCTCCTGAAACTTGAAACACTGATATCATGAATATCTGAGATTAAAAAAGGTTAAAGTTCCTGGCCTCTAAAAATGTGTTGTGTTTGTGTCAATGCATAAACATCATTATTCCTTAAATTTGTTTCCATGTGAGAGAGATGGGGTTGAAAACCGTACTCCCAAAGTCTAGGCATACATTCATTGTGTAAAATTCTTCGTATTCTAGACATTCATTCATTCTCCCGGAGATAGCATCGGTAGTATAGAACAGTAGCGTAGAACA